GAGTGGGAGTGAGTGAGAGTGACACAGAGAGAGAGAGAGAGAGAGAGAGAGAGAGATAGAGAGAGAGAGAGAGACAGAAAGACAAATCAAATGAAAGGATAACTTACGCATCTTAGGGTTTTCCTCATCCATCTTCATCTGGGCCGTCTTCTCCGAGCAAGAACTCGCTATACAAAACAAAAATGTGAAGAAAAAAATTGAGAAAATATATATAAAATAACAATGTATGTAAAAGAAATTATTAACAATGAACAGCGACGTTTTAGTTTGATAACTCTGAGAACAGCCATGAGAAAAGCCTTTCTTGCCGCCATTGATGAAACGGCGAGAGAGAGAGAGAGAGAGAGAAAAAGACCGAAATATAAATCAAATGAAAGGATAACTTATGTATTTTAGGGTTTTCATCGTCCATCTTCATCTGGGCCGTCTTCTCCGAGCAAGAACTCCCTATATAAAATAAAAATGTGGAGAATAAAATGAGAAAATATATATAAAATAACAAAGTATGTAAAAAAATTATTAACAATGAACACCATTGTTTGAGTTTGATAACTCTGAGACCAGCCATGAGGGAAGCCTTTCTTGCCACCAATGTTGAAACGGAGAGTGAGAGTGGGAGTGAGTGAGAGTGACAGAGAGAGAGAGAGAGAGAGAGAGAGAGAGAGAGAGAGAGAGACGGAAAGATAAATCAAATGAAAGGATAACTTACGCATCTTAGGGTTTTCATCGTCCATCATCATCTGGGCCATCTTCCTCGAGCAAGAACTCGCTATACAAAACAAAAATGTGAACAAAAAAATTGGGAAAATATATAAAAAATAACAAAATATGTAAAAGAAATTATTAACAATGAACAACGACGTTTGAGTTTGATAACTCTGAGAACAACCATGAGAAAAGCCTTTCTTGCCGCCATTGACGAAACGGACGGTGAGAGTGAGAGTGAGAGTGAGAGTGAGAGAGAGAGAGAGAGAGAGAGACCGAAAGACAAATCAAAGGAAAGGATAACTTACGTATCTTAGGGTTTTGATCGTCCAACATTATCTGGGCTGTCTTCTCCGAGCAAGAACTCCCTATACAAAGCAAAAATGTGTAGAAAAAAATGAGAATATATATATAAAATAACAAAGTATGTAAAAGAAATTATTAACAATGAACACGAACGTTTGAGTTTGATAACTCTGATAGCAGCCATGAGGGAAGCCTTTCTTGCCACCGTTGATGAAACGGAGAGTGAGAGTGGGAGTTAGTGAGAGTGATAGAGAGAGAGAAAGAGAGAGAGAGAGATAGAAAGGCAAATCAAATGAAAAGATAACTTACGCATCTTAGGGTTTGCATTGTCCATCTTCATTTGGGCCGTCTTCTCCGAGCAAGAAGTCGCTACACAAAACAAAAATGTGAAGAAAAAAATTGGGAAAATATATATAAAATAACAAAGTATGTAAAAGAAATTATTAACAGTGAACAACGACGTTTGAGTTTGATAACTCTGAGAACAGCGATGAGAAAAGCCTTTCTTGCCACCATTGACGAAACGGAGAGTGAGAGTGAGAATGAGAGAGAGTGAGAGAGATTGAAAGACAAATTAAATGAAAGGATAACTTATGCATCTTAGGGTTTTCATCGTCCATCTTCACCTGGGCCGTTTTCTCCGAGCAAGAACTCCATATACAAAACAAAAATGTGTAGAAAAAAATGATAAAATATATATAAAATAACAAAGTACGTAAAAGAAATTATTAACAATGAACACCATTGTTTGAGTTTGATAACTCTGAGAGCAGCCATGAGGGAAGCTTTTCTTGCCACCATTGATGAAATAGAGAGTCAGAGTGGGAGTGAGTGAGAGCGACATAGAGAGAGAGGGAGAGAGAGAGAGAGAGAGAGAGAGAGAGAGAGAGACCGAAAGACAAATCAAATGAAAGGATAACTTATGCATCTTAGGGTTTTCATAGTGCTTCTTCATCTGGGCCGTCTTCTCCGAGCAAGAACTCGCTATACAAAACAAAAATGTGAAGAAAAAAATTGAGAAAATATATATAAAATAACAAAGTATGTAAAAGAAATTACTAAATATGAACAACGACGTTTGAGTTTGATAACTCTGAGAACAGCCATGAGAAAAGCCTTTCTTGCCGCCATTGACAAAACGGAGAGTGAGTGAGAGAGAGAGAGAGAGAGAGAGAGAGAGAGAGAGAGACCGAAAGACAAATCAAAGGAAAGGATAACTTACGTATTTTAGGGTTTCATCATCCATCTTTATCTAGGTCGTCTTCTCTGAGCAAGAACTCCCTATACAAAACAAAAATGTGCAGAAAAAAAATGAGAAAATACATATAAAATAACAAAGTATGTAAAAAAAATTATTAACAATGAACACCAACGTTTGAGTTTGATAACTCTGAGAGCAGCCATGAGGGAAACTTTTCTTGCCACCATTGATGAAACAGAGAGTGAGAGTGAGAGTGAGTGAGAGTGACAGAGACAGAAAGAAAAATCAAATTGAAGGATAACTTAGGCATCTTAGGGTTTTCATTGTCCACCATCATCTAGGCCGTCTTCTCCGAGCAAGAACTCGCTATACAAAACAAAAATGTGAAGAAAAAAATTGAGTATATATATATATATATATATATAATAACAAAGTATGTAAAAGAAATTATTAACAATGAACAACGACGTTTGAGCTTGATAACTCTGAGAACAGCCATGAGAAAAGCCTTTCTTGCCGCTATCGACGAAACGGGGAGTGAGAGTGTGTGTGTGTGTGTGTGTGTGAGAGAGAGAGAGAGAGAGAGAGAGACCGAAAGAAAAATCAAACGAACGGATAACTTACGCATCTTATGGTTTTCTTCGTCCATCTTCATCTGGGCCTTATTCTTCGAGGAAGAACTCCCTATATAAAGCAAAAATGTGAAGAAAAAAAATGAGAATATATATAAAATAACAAAGTGTGTAAAAGAAATTATTAACAATGAACACCGATGCTTGAGTTTGATACTCTGAGAGCGGCCATGAGAGAAGCCTTTATTGACGCCATTGGCGAAACGGAAAGTGAGAGTGACTGAGAGTGACAGTGCAATAACCCGACCCTCGTACATGTTTCTGATATATTGTCAGTCCTTATTTTGCGCTTTTTACTGTTTACTGTGAAATCTCATGAGAAATTACGGTTAAGTAAATGAAATCCATGCTTAAGGATGTCTATTTGTTTAACAAGAAAAGTATCTGTTATATCTAAAACGTTTGAATTAGAAATTGGAAGCCTTAGGGGCTTAATTATCTGAAATTGACTTTATATATGCGATCAGCATAATTTTTATGTAATATTAAGCATGTTTACGAAATTTCAATTTCGGAATGATTAAACGATTGGATTTTGTCTTATATGCCTTATATATGTTTTCTTTATGTATGTCTATATATGTCTCTAAGTGTATTATTGAGTTAAGACTCAAGAACCTTTCCATCCAAAATCTCCTGGGAGAGGAAAATGGAGGGTGTGAAGAAAAAGAAGGGGGGGAAAAGAAATTCATCAAAGAAGATTGTCAAATTAAAGAAAGTTGTGGAATTTAATTCAAGGTAAGCTCCATCCAACCTATTTAACCTTCACTTGGACTTAAGGAAGGGTGATTTCTTGTTTTGACAACTTAGGGTTTGTATTATGTATGATTTATGGTTGATTAAAGAAGGTTTCTTATCAATTGGTTGTTTTGCCACCTAATTTAGGTGTTATGCGAAAGTCACACTTCAATCTTTGGTTTATGCCAACCCCATGAAAGTATATATGTGCAAGATGTTATGTTTTAGAGTGATTAAGCTTCTAATCATGTTTATTTTGTGGTATTCAAATGATAATTCATGTTATAGTGAAGTTGGGTCAATATATTGCATTAATTTCATCTTGATTTGCATGTATAATGAAGTGGTGTTGCTAAATTTTGAGTTGAAATCGAACTGCCCCAAAACAGGGACACGGACGCTCGAGCGGAAAAGAAGAAAAAATTATTTGTTTTGTTTTGCGTGCTCGATCCTCTGTTATTTTTAGATTATTTTTTTGATGCTCTTAAAATGATTGTAAATTCATTGGGACCGTAATGACTCAGAAACTAATTTAACAAGGAAAAAGAATACAAGTTTTGAATGTGTGCAGGACACACTCCGGGAGGAAGTAGCACGTCATCACAACACTGTGAGTAGTAGTACTATTATACGCTTTAGATATAGCTAATGCTTGTCATTGGCACTTGTTCATGTACGATATGCAACTATGTTCATATTTTAACGTATGTACCTAAAGAAATGGGAAAGATGAAATACTTTCATTTTATAAGACTATGGGCCCATAACCATACAGTATAAGTTATTATGATATGAAACAAAGTGCTACACGGAACTATGTGCTACGATGTGAGTCACCTCTAGAACTCGTGTGAGTCACCTCTTGAGTTCATACAAGGATATACAAGGGCTTAATGCCAAATTATCCAAGGGCTCTATGCCACTTTATTCAAGGGCCTCATGCCATCATGTTTAAGGGCTTTGTGCCACCATGTTTAAGGGCTTTATGCCACCATGATTAAGGGGTTATGCCACACCATTCAAGGGCTTTAAGCCAAAACGTTGTATTCAAGCCAATATGTTCCAAGATAGGGCTTGAGACCATTATGAAGTAATACAGACTCAGGCTAACTATGTGGACTTTTCATTTGTATGCTTAAGTACATGTGTTGAAGCTTTGGATGTACATGTGTTGAAGCTTTGGATATCAGGTTGGAGCTGTAATTTAAATTTTAGAATTTCAAAATTTGCATGGTCCGCTCGAGCGGGGGAAGACCCGCTCGAGCGTGAAAATTGACCTCCCAGTATTTTTTGTTAAGTTGTACAGTCCGATCGCGCGGCCAAAGTGGCGCTCGAGCGGAGACCCATTTTCAGAACAATTTAGAAAGCTACATTTAGTTCATATTCCTCTCCTCATCTCTTTCCAAAGCATTTTAGACATGACGTATGACTCATTAAAGGTTGACAAGCTACGAATCTATATGTGTTTACATATTATGTTTCAAGTTAAGCATCGCTTTATTAAAGTATTACTATTCACTGAGCTTGGCTCACCCTCTGTTATGTCTGTTTCTGTAGGTAACCAACCAGGAGGTCAGTCCTAACCCAGGACGTCCATTTCCTTTTGTCAACCTTTATGAGTCCAGGCAGTAGGCGAGATTACTTATTTTTGTGAAGCTTTGCTAAGATGTTGACTTGTATTTTGATTACTCATGTAAGGTTGAATGTACATAACTTTAATGTTTTTGTATATGCCCGATCATAGGGCTGTGACTGTATATATATATATATATATGACTGATGCTCAAGGTATAATTTTGACTTGTATTGTATATGATGCATTTGATCCTGGCATATTAGAGGTAGCTCAATGGAGTTTCTTATATTATGTTAAATCTTAGTGCTTCCGTTAAGGCCCCGTTTGCTATGTATATTCGATTATTTACCCGTTTCTGAATGAGTCATGCCCAAACTTTTAGGGGTGAGTTTGGGGCATGACAAGCGGTATCAGAGCATGAGATGCTATCCCACACACGGATCCATTGAGCTCTAGGGTGTCTAGAAAAGATTTAGGCAGCATGCATGACATCCTGTAAGTATAGGAGACGATTGATGGCAACGTCAAGTGTACTCTGATAATGTTAACACTATTGAATTATGTCTATTGTATAAAATTGATTGTTATGTAGGTGATGGTGAGAACAAGGGCAGAAGATCCGGAAGATGCTACTTTTGCACGATTGGATAGGATGGAAAGAATGATTATGGAAATGGAGGAGACCCTACAGCAACAACAGCAACAACCGCCACCGCCACCGGTACCTCCACCGGCAATACAAGATTGTCATGCTGAAGACCGGACCATCACCCTGACCAAGGAGTTTAAAAAGATGAAACCGCCGTCCTTCAAAGGTGGAATAGAACCAATGAAAGCTGAAGCATGGGTGTTGGGAATAGAGAAGTTATTTGAAGTCTTTCCTTGTACCGAAGCTCAGAAGGTGCAATTGGCTGCCTTTACTTTTGAGGATGAGGCACGGAGATGGTGGATGCTCACGAGAACTATACATCAAGGATTGACATGGGATAGGTTCTTGGAGATATTTTATGATAAATATTTCCCACAAAGTATGCGAGATAAAAAGGTGACTGAATTCGAAACTCTTAGGCAAGGGAACAAGACTGTTGCTGAGTATGAAGCCCAATTTGCCGAGTTGGCTCAGTTCGCACCTCACATGGTGGACACGGACTATAAGAAGGCGCAGAAATTTGAAGGGGGATTATGGGGTGCTATTCTGGATCGAGTTAATATGTTGAAGCTACCTACCTATGTAGAGGTGTTGGAGAGGGCCGTTATAGCAGAAGGGAATATTGCTGCACAAAACCGAATTACTGAATGGAAGGGGAAAAGACAAAACAGTCAATGGTCGAAGGGGGTAACGGCTCCACCAAATAAGAAACAAAATTCAGGGACTTCTAATGTATCTACCCCTAGGCAAGATTCAATTCCCGTATGTGTGGAGTGTGGAAAGAAACACCATGGGATATGCCATCAGAAGTCTGGAGCCTACTTCCAGTGTGGAAAAACGGGTCATATGATAAGGGATTGCCTTCAAAGGAAGCAACAAATCAGTTTAGCGGGGTCTGCACCAACTACCAACACCAAAGCACCGGTCAAAGCTACTAATAATAAAGACACCACGAGACAAGGCGGGGTGTTTGCATTAGTTCCGGGAGATGTGCAAAAGGCGGCAACAGTGGTGTCAGGTACATTTATGGTTCACGGTCATTCTGCTTGTGTATTGTTTGATTCTGGCTCTACCCATTTTTTTGTGTCAAAATTATTTGCTCCTAATTTAGATAAAGCAGAGGAAGTACTATCTTATATGCTGTGTGTGTCTTCACCTTTGGGGGATTCTATGATTTGTACCTCGATATATGTTGCTTGTGAACTTCACCTTGGGGATATTCGGGTACACGCTAACTTGTTACCTCTCGATATGATGTATTTTGATATTGTACTGGGAATGGACTGGCTGAGTGAATATGGTGCAACTATAAACTGTTTGACGAAGCAAGTTAGTTTCCACCCTCCGGGTCAAGCAGAATTTACATTTCAGGGACAGGAGGTGACTTCTCCACCATATTTGATTTCTGCAACAAAGGCTTATAGGTTAATTCAGAAAGGGTGTCAAGGGTATTTGTGTAGTGTTATGGAAGAGCAAGTGGTGAATGGAGGTACTGACACAATTCCAGTTGTTCGTGAATTTCCGGACATATTTCCAGAAGAGTTGCCAGGGCAATTGATAGACCGGGAAATTGAGTTTACAATCGAAGTGGCACCGGGAACCCAACCCATCTCGAAGACTCTGTATAGAATGTCACTAGTTGAGATGAAGGAATTGAAAATTCAGTTGCAAGATTTACTGGACAAGGGATTCATCCGTCCGAGTGTGTCTCCGTGGGGGGCACCAGTTCTCTTTGTGAAGAAGAAAGATGGAACACTCCGGCTTTGTGTCGATTACAGGGAACTTAATAAGGTAACAATAAAAAATAAGTACCCATTACCAAGGATCGATGACTTATTTGATCAGCTTCAGGGGGCACAAGTCTTTTCTAAAATCGATCTACGGTCTGGATACCATCAATTAAAAGTCAAGGCTAGTGATGTTGAGAAGACAGCTTTTCGAACCCGGTACGGGCATTATGAATTTTTGGTTATGCCCTTCAGAGTTACTAACGCCCCAGCAGCCTTTATGGATTTGATGAACCGTGTCTTCAAGCCCTATTGGATGAATTTGTGGTGGTCTTTATTGATGATATTCTAATCTATTCAGAGAATGCAGAAGCTCATGAGAATCATCTTCGCCTGATCCTCTTCGGGAAGAGAAATTGTACGCAAAGCTGAAGAAATGTGAATTTTGGCTACTAGAGGTGGCATTTCTGGGGCATGTTATCACCAAAGAAGGGATTTCTGTTGATCCACACAAGATTAAGGCAATCGTGAATTGGCCAACTCCCACTAATGTGACTGAAGTGCGTAGTTTTATGGGGTTAGCCGACTATTACAGACGGTTTGTACAAGATTTTTCTAAAATTGCTGTGCCGCTTACACAATTGACTCGAAAGGGAGTTGCATTTAAATGGTTAGAAGAACGAGAATCTGCTTTTCAAGAATTGAAGACAAGGTTGACTACAACACCCGTGTTGGCTTTACCATTCGGGACTGAAGGGTTTTGTAATCTACAGTGATGCTTCGCATAAAGGGCTTGGTTGTGTACTTATGCAACGTGGACGGGTTATCGCTTATGCCTCTCAACAATTAAAACCTCATGAGAAGAATTATCCCACATATGATCTGGAGCTAGCAGCAGTAGTCTTTGCTTTGAAGATCTGGAGACACTATTTGTATGGCACTACTTGCGAAGTGTACACCGACCATAAGAGTCTCAAGTACCTTTTTACTCAAAAAGAGTTGAATATGCGGCAGCGACGGTGGTTGGAACTTATTGAAGATTATGATTTGCAGATCCATTACCAGCCTGGCAAAGCTAACACAGTTGCGGATGCGCTTAGTCAGAAAAGTATGGGAACTTTAGCACCTTTGATTATAGGGCAAAAGGAATTGGCAACTGAATTGATTAAAATGGAAGTGGACCTTGTGTTACATGGGCAGGAAGTTTTAATGGCAGCAGTGATGGCCCAACCAACCCTACTTGAGGAAATCAAATTGCATTAGATGAAAGATGAAACTCTAAGAAAGATATGTGATGAGTTAGAAACTAAGGTGAAACCGGAGTTCAGTTTAGTAGATGCGGTGCTCAAATTTCAAAATCGGGTATGTGTTCCCAATGTGTTGAACCTTAAACAAAAATTGATAGAAGAAGCCCATACTTCAAGATTTTCAATGCATCCAGGGAGTACCAAAATGTACCGAGATCTGAGGCAAAACTTTTGGTGGCCAAGTATGAAGAAGGAGATCGCGGAGTTCGTCTCTAAATGTTTGCACTGCCAGCAAGTAAAAACGGAGCATCAAAGACCAGCCGGGTTGTTACAACCCCTTCCCATCTTGGAATGGAAATGGGAGCATTTGACCATGGATTTTGTTGTGGGGTTACCACAGACTCCTCGGGGCATGAATTCAATATGGGTCATTGTGGACCAATTAACTAAGTCCGCTCACTTCCTACCAGTGAAGACTCAGTATAATGCAGATAAACTGGCAGTACTTTATGTGAATGAGATTGTGAGACTTCATGGTGTTCCGGTTTCAATTGTATCGGATAGAGATCCGAAGTTTGTTTCTAGATTCTAGCAAAGTTTACAAAAAGCAATGGGTACAGAATTAAAGTTCAGCACAGCTTTCCACCCTCAGACCGACGGTCAATCCGAGAGAACGATACAGACTCTTGAGGATATGCTCCGAATGTGTGTGCTAGATTTTCAAGAAAGTTGGGAAACCTATCTCCCGTTGGTAGAATTTGCATACAATAATAGCTACCATTCGAGTATAAACATGGCACCCTATGAAGCGTTGTATGGAAGACCATGTCGTTCTCCCGTATGTTGGGCTGAAGTTGGAGATAAATCCTTGCTAGGGCCTGAAATTGTTCAATTGACAACTGAAAAGGTTAAAATCATTCGGGAAAGACTGAAGACTGCTCAAAGTAGGCAAAAGAGCTATGCGGATAACCGACGAAGGAATTTGGAATTTGAAGTTGATAGTCATGTTTTTGTAAAAGTCACCCCGATGAAAGGACATCCGAGATTCGGGAAAAGGGGTAAGTTAACACCCCGATATGTAGGTCCATTCCAAATTTTGGAGAAAGTGGGTCCAGTAGCTTACCGGGTTGCTCTTCCATCAAATATGAGTCAAGTACATGCTGTGTTTCATATCTCTATGCTTCGAGGATACCTCCCGGACCCGTCTCATGTTATTGACTACCAAATTGAATTGGATGAGAAGTTGACGTATAAAGAGAAACCATTCCGAATTTTGGACCGACAAGTGAAACAATTACGAAACCGAGAAATTCAAATGGTAAAAGTTGAGTGGCAAGAACATTACGAAACCGACGCAACTTGAGAAAAAGAAGAGGAAATGCAACACCAATACCCTCACCTATTTCAATCCTAAGGTAAAACAAGTTTGGAGGACCAAACTTACTTAAGGGGGGGAGTCTGTAATAACCCGACCCTCGTACATGTTTCTGATATATTGTCAGTCCTTATTTTGCGCTTTTAACTGTTTACTGTGAAATCTCATGAGAAATTACGGTTAAGTAAATAAAATCCATGCTTAAGGATGTCTATCTGTTTAACAAGAAAAGTATCTGTTATATCTAAAACGTTTGAATTAGAAATTGGAAGCCTTAGGGGCTTAATTATCTGAAATTGACTTTATATATGTGATCAGCATAATTTTTATGTAATATTAAGCATGTTTACGAAATTTCAATTTCGGAATGATTAAACGATTGGATTTTGTCTTATATGCCTTATATATGTTTTCTTTATGTATGTCTATATATGTCTCTAAGTGTATTATTGAGTTAAGACTCAAGAACCTTTCCATCCAAAATCTCCTGGGAGAGGAAAATGGAGGGTGTGAAGAAAAAGAAGGGGGGGAAAAGAAATTCATCAAAGAAGATTGTCAAATTAAAGAAAGTTGTGGAATTTAATTCAAGGTAAGCTCCATCCAACCTATTTAACCTTCACTTGGACTTAAGGAAGGGTGATTTCTTGTTTTGACAACTTAGGGTTTGTATTATGTATGATTTATGGTTGATTAAAGAAGGTTTCTTATCAATTGGTTGTTTTCCCACCTAATTTAGGTGTTATGTGAAAGTCACACTTCAATCTTTGGTTTATGCCAACCCTATGAAAGTATATATGTGCAAGATGTTATGTTTTAGAGTGATTAAGCTTCTAATCATGTTTATTTTGTGGTATTCAAATGATAATTCATGTTATAGTGAAGTTAGGTCAATATATTGCATTAATTTCATCTTGATTTGCATGTATAATGAAGTGGTGTTGCTAAATTTTGAGTTGAAATCAAACTGCCCCAAAACAGGGACACGGACGCTCGAGCGAAAAAGAAGAAAAAATTATTTGTTCTGTTTTGCGTGCTCGATCCTCTGTTATTTTTAGATTATTTTTTTGATGCTCTTAAAATGACTGTAAATTCATTGGGAGCGTAATGATTCAGAAACTAATTTAACAAGGAAAAAGAAAGAACTAATGTACAAGTTTTGAATGTGTACAGGACACACTCCGGGAGGAAGTAGCACGTCATCACAACACAGTGAGTAGTAGTACTATTATACGCTTTACATATAGCTAATGCTTGTCATTGGCACTTGTTCATGTACGATATGCAACTATGTTCATATTTTAACGTATGTACCTAAAGAAATGGGAAAGATGAAATACCTTCAATTTAGAAGACTCTGGGCCCATAACCATACAGTATAAGTTATTATGATATGAAACAAAGTGCTACACGAAACTAAGTGCTACGATGTGAGTCACCTCTAGAACCCGTGTGAGTCACCTCTTGAGTTCATACAAGGATATACAAGGGCTTAATGCCAAATTATCCAAGGGCTCTATGCCACTTTATTCAAGGGCCTTGCGCCATCATGTTTAAGGGCCTCGTGCCACCACGTTTAAGGGCTTTGTGCCACCATGTTTAAGGGGTTATGCCACACCATTCAAGGGCTTTAAGCCAAAACGTTATATTCAAGCCAATATGTTCCAAGACAAGGCTTAAGACCATTATGAAGTAATACAGACTCAGACTAACTATGTGGACTTTGCATTTGTATGCTTGTTGAAGCTTTGGATGTACATGTGTTGAAGCTTTGGATATCAGGTTGGAGCTATAATTTAAATTTTAGAATTTCAGAATTTGCATGGTCCGCTCGAGCGGGGGAATCGACCTCCTAGTATTTTTTGTTAAATTGTACAGTCCGCTCAAGCGGCCAAAGTGGCGCTCGAGTGGAGACCCATTTTCAGAACAATTTAGAAAGCTACATTTAGTTCATATTCCTCTCCTCATCTCTTTCCAAAGCATTTTAGACATGACGTATGACTCATTAAAGATTGACAAGCTACGAATCTATATGTGTTTACATATTATGTTTCAAGTAAAGCATCGCTTTATTTAAGTATTTCTATTCTCTGAGCTTGGCTCACCCTCTGTTATGTCTGTTTCTGTAGGTAACCAACCAGGAGGTCAGTCCTAACCCAGGATGTCCATTTCCTTTTGTCAACCTTTATGAGTCCAGGCACTAGGCGAGATCACTTATTTTTGTGAAGCTTTGCTAAGATGTTGACTTGTATTTTGATTACTCATTCAAGGTTGAATGTACATAACTTTAATGTTTTTGTATATGCCCGATCATAGGGCTGGGACTATATATATATATATATATATGACTGATGCTCGAGGTATAATTTTGGCTTGTATTGTATATGATGCATTTGATCCTAGCATATTAGAGGTAGCTCAATGGAGTTTCTTATATTATGTTAAATCTTAGTGCTTCCGTTAAGGCCCCATTTGCTATGTAAATTCGATTATTTATCCGTTTCTGAATGAGTCATGCCCAAACTTTTAGGGGTGAGTTTGGGGCGGGACAGACAAAGAGAGACAGAGAGAAAGAAAAACAAATCAAATGAAATGATAAGTTATGGACCTTAGTGTTTTCATCGTCCATCTTCATCTGGGCCGTCTTCTACGAACAAGAACTCCCAATAGAAAACAAAAATGGGAAGACAAAAAATGAGAAAATATATAGAAAATAACAAAGTATGTAAAAGAAATTATTAACAATGAACACCGACGTTTGAGTTTGATAACTCTAAG